CCCCGTCCCCAGCCCGCGGGGCCCGCCGGCCGCCCGCCCCCGAGTCCCCCGGCGCCAGCCGCCCCGGTCGGCGCGGCCCCGCCGGCGCTACTCACCGAGGTCCGCGAGCGCCGGGCCCCGGCGGGCGAAGGCCGGACGGCGGCGAAGCCCGAAACTGACACGGCGGCCATCTTGGGCCCGGCGCGCTGCGGCGGGCGGGGAGGGGGGGGGGGGGCGGGGCGGGACGGCCCACGCGGGGGGGGGGGGGGGGGGGAGCGCGGGAACAGCGCGGAGAGGCGAGAGCCGCCGCCGGGGGGCGCTGAGGAGCCGCGGCTGCGGCACCGGGGGCGGGGCCAAGGGCCGAGGGGGCGGGGCCAGGACCGAGGGATGGACCGGGAACCGGGATGGATCGACCGGGGAACCGGAATGGACTGAGGGAACCGGGATGGACCGAGGGAACAGGGATGGATCGACCGGGGAACCGGAATGGACTGAGGGAACAGGGATGGACTGAGGGAACCGGAATGGACTGAGGGAACAGGGATGGACTGAGGGAACCAGATCGACCAGGGGAACCAAGATCGACTGAGGGAACCGGGACCCAGCGAGGGAACGAGCAGGGCTGTGTGAGGGCTCAGGGGCCGGTTGGCACTCAATGGATGCCCGTATCCCGGAAAGAGGAAATCCCTCTCTTAGTCCTAATTAATCTTGCGCTGGGAACCGCGGGTCTGGGCTTTTAAAGACCCGAAGCGATGGACTCTGAAATAACGATGCCATGGAGCTCGGAGAGCGGGCACTCCTCACCCGTGCCCCTGACTGTTGATTCTAAGGTCCAGGTTAAAACCAGAAAGGTTTGTGTTTCATGGAGAACCAAGTGTATAAAGGCTTTACGCTGTTGTCAGTTTAACTGTGTTCTGTCTGTGGTATCTCTGTGACTCCCATTCAAACAGTCTCCAAGAGCCTCATGGACTAATATGATAATCTTTACAATGTCTTTGTGTTAAAAGTAAACCTGCCCCTGCAGCAGTGAGGGACCTGTGACCTCCCTTCCCCTGTGACAAGGGCTGTGTGCTCAGACAGCTGCTTTAACAGGGTACAAAGGGCTGCTTTCCTGTTGGTTCTCTATTTGTTCCCAACAGTGTAGGAGGAAAATCATTTGTAATGGCATCTGCATGACTCAGAAGTCCAGGGATCGGCTCTGTGAACACGAAACATCTGTTCTAATTGCGCAAGGGAATCATTTGGCAGAGTTCAGGTAAATTTTGCACGACGACTGTCACTTTCGTGCCAGCTGGGTCGTGATTTCAGGGGTGTTATTCCTCCGTGCTGAACAGACCAGGAAAATAATACAGTGGAGATCATTCCCCGGGCTGCTCCTCGCTGCAAGGCCGGGTCACCCCATTTCACAGACTGTCCCCAAGCTCAGCTCTGGAGCATCCCTGAGGTCTCATCTGGAACATCCCTGATTTCTGCTCTGGAACCTCCCTGAGGTCTCATCTGGAACATCCCTGATTTCTGCTCTGGAACATCCCTGATTTCTGCTCTGGAACATCCCTGATTTCTGCTCTGGAATATCCCCAAGCTCTGTTCCAGAATATCCCTGAGGTCTCCTCTGGAACATCCCCGATTTCTGCTCTGGAACCTCCCCGAGCTCCGCTGCGGAACAGGGACTCCCGAGGGCCCGTGATGGGCTGTGGGGTCGGGCCGCGAGTCCCGTGGGCGCTGCCGGGCGCGCTCCCGCTCCCGCTCCCGCCGCCGCGCTGGGGGCGCGCCCCGTGCGTCACCGGGCGCGCGCCTCCCGCCGGCCCAATAGCAGCGCTCGCTGCCGGCCCCGCCCACAGGGCCCAGCGCGCGTCTGTCCGCGCGCCGGGGGGCGGGGCCTGTGCCGGGAGCGCGCACGGGGGGGGACTCGCTCCGGCCCAGGAGAGTCCGGCCCGGGAGAGCTCAGCTCAGCTCAGCTCAGCTCAGCTCAGCTCAGCTCAGCCCAGCCCAGGAGAGCTCAGCTCAGCTCAGTCCGGCCCAGCCCCAGCCCCAGCCCCAGCGCCCCCCATCCCAGCGCAGCCATGATCCACAGCCTGTTCCTGATCAACGCCGCCGGGGACATCTTCCTGGAGAAGCACTGGAAGAGCGTGGTGAGCCGCTCGGTCTGTGACTACTTCTTCGAGGCGCAGGAGCGGGCCTCGGAGGCGGAGAACGTGCCGCCCGTGATCCCCACGCCGCACCACTACCTGCTCAGCGTGTACCGCCACAAGATCTTCTTCGTGGCCGTCATCCAGAGCGAGGTGCCGCCGCTCTTCGTCATCGAGTTCCTGCACCGCGTCGTGGACACGTTCCAGGTGCGGCCGCGGGTCCCGGGGCCGGGCGGGCAGAGCCCTTCGGTGCCGGGGGTTCGCTCTGTTCGCCGGTCACTTCACTCGCGTCCTGCATTGGCGAGGGGACAGACGAGGGCTTGCGGTGGTTGGGGATTTACTGCCTGGAATTGCGGTGGCTGCGGGATCCACCCGCGCTCGGGGAAGGACCTGTCGGCAGTCGGTGTTTCTGCTCTGCAGCCTCGGCTGCTCTGGCAGCTGGAACTAAGACCAAGCTGACCTTGTTCTCACAGGGAGCTTTTTGACGTGCTTTGGTCAGTTAGTGACACCCAGCCCCTTGCTCACATCTAGGGATGCTCCTTGGAATCCTCCTAAATAGTGGGTCCTAGGGGCTGCCCCAGAGCAGCCCTGTCCCCTCTGGGCTCTGGTGGACATGGTCCATGTAAGAAAATGGTGAAGATGTCTGTCCTTCTGCCTGCCAACAACAGGGTTGTGTTGCCCAGATTTGAGATGTCTTGTGACCAGCATCCTGACAGAACACAGGAAATGTGGTGCTTGGTCAAACAAGTGTCATGTGAGCTCTTCCTTCCAGATGCCAGTCGAAATGTGAGTGTATTCTGAGTTCTGTTTCGCTGTGGATTGGCTCTTCAGGCCAAAAAGGGATCCTGTCAGACCTTTAGGTTTTGTTTTTCCTTGAGGTACAAAATGTGTGTCTTCACTGGCCTGGCCATTTATTAAAATCTGATATGTCTGAAAAAGAAATAGTGCTTGTAGAGCAGGACAGGAGTTCTCTGCTGTCACACTCTCTGTTACTCATGCTTTGTGCAGAGTGTCTGATCTCCTAATTGCTCTAACTAACCAGCAGCTCAGGTGTGTGTTTGTGCTCTCTCCTGAAAGATGTGTGAAGTCCACGTAGAGTAAGACTGTAAGGAAATTAAATGTTCAGTTTTAAAAATTGCTGAATTAATTGGGAGTGCTGATGCAGGGATTTGGCAGCTTAGTGGGGCAGTGGCAGAGGGTGCTCAGAGCTGCACATGTCTGCTGGAGTGGTCAGTCTGTCTGCTGTGCTCGTGGTAATACCTGGAGTTTCAGTGTTGTTTCACCTCCTCCAAGAATAAGCTGGATTTATTCCTGGGGGGAACACAAGACTGAATGATCAGAAGATTCTCTTTCAGCAATTGTTGAGTAATTATTTCTTTTGCACAGGATTATTTTGGCGTGTGTTCAGAGGTGATAATCAAGGACAATGTTGTGGTGGTCTATGAGGTGCTGGAGGAGATGCTGGACAATGGCTTTCCATTGGCAACAGAGTCTAATATTCTTAAGGAACTGATAAAACCTCCTACTATCCTGCGGACAGTCGTCAACACCATCACAGGTACAGGGAATCAAAACTCAGGCAGACTGGGAAGTCCATGTGCAATATTCCTGCAGAAGTGAATTAGGACATGGGTGAGGGAAGTTTATGTTCCCTGCCATTCTAAACTGCAGCACAGGTGTGTTAGTGCTTTGTTTGGGGTTCCTTCCAATTTCAGCACCAGCTGCACTTTGGGTTTTGGTTTGGTTTTGGGTTGGTTCAGTTTTTTGAACTGCAACAGCCAGATTACATCTCCAGTTCCAGCCGTGCCCTGACTTGCAGGACGTCAGTGTGCTGTGGGTTTACACATCCACACATGTTAACACTTGCCTGTGCCTTACTGTGGTGTGTTTTAGAGCTGGGTGTAAGAGAGATGTAAACTCTGGAACACAGTGGGTCTCCAAGAGTAATTGCCCCCCTACAAAGAAACGGGCACTCGGGGGTTAATTACAATTAAGTTCTGTAAGTCAGGGGACTTGTTCTGGAGCACTGTCTGACGTCTGGGGGGGTTGTGGCTGCCTTTCTTTTTGCAGGAAGCACTAATGTGGGTGACCAGCTTCCCACTGGGCAGCTCTCAGTGGTGCCTTGGAGACGTACTGGTGTAAAATACACCAACAACGAGGCCTATTTTGATGTGATTGAGGAGATCGACGCGATCATCGACAAATCAGGTATGGAAGTTGCTCCTGGCTGACACGAGGGTGACTTGTCCTGATAGTGCCTGAAGAGAGAGGTGGGTTTTCAAAGAGGGTCGCCTTCCTCCAAGTGTGGGAAGCTCTGTTTCTGTTTTACTCTGGATTGTTGCCATCCTGTACGTGCTGCTCAGTCAAAAATTTCACAGAGGTACCACGATTTTCACTTGCCCTTGTTCTTGAGGTCTCCTAAGCAATTTTATATTGGGAAAATAGAAGATGAGCAAATATTCTTTCTCTTTAGTATTTGTGCATCTTAGTCTTGTTAGATTTGGGAGATACTGCCTTTGGCCATTAAAATGGACATTGCTGGTGTCTGTTGTTCTTAATTGTTTGCATCTTATAGAGAAGTCATTGGGAATGAGAAAAATGTTGAGCAGGCAACATAATGAACCATGACATTTCATAAAGATAATAGATTTCCTTCCTCCCCACTGAGGGCTTTTCCACTTTGGGATTTTTTTGACCAGGTTCACATAACCACCTGTTTGCTTTATGGTTGCAGGTTCCACGATTACTGCTGAAATCCAAGGGGTGATTGATGCTTGTGTCAAGCTGACTGGGATGCCAGACCTTACCCTCTCCTTTATGGTAAAGCTCAAGGATGTATTTTTACTGAAGTAATTTGAAAAGCACTTCCCAGCCCCCCTGCTAAGATCTGTCTTACACTGACAGATCCCAGCACATCAGACTCTGGGTATGCCAAACAGAAGGAGAAAGAAATGATGATGGGAACTCATAGGGAACTTCAGCAACTTTGAGCCTAAAAATTTTATTTTCAGGTTCTTTGTTTAAAAGCACCGTTTGTGTGTGCTGTGACTAAGTTTTTGAGTCTTTAGTGGTGCTTTAGGCAGATATGAAGGGCCACCTTTTTCATGGGTATGTATCAATGCAATTATTCAACGTGACTAAATTTTCTGAAATAGGATAAAAAATACCCTGAGAAAGGACAGAGGTTCCTGAGTGCTGCCCTCACAACCCTGTGTCTCTGCTGCAGAACCCTCGGCTGCTGGACGATGTCAGCTTCCACCCCTGCGTGCGGTTCAAGCGCTGGGAGTCGGAAAGGATCCTCTCCTTCATTCCACCCGATGGGAATTTTCGCTTGCTCTCCTACCATGTCAGTGCTCAGAAGTAGGTGATGAATGTAGTGCTGTGAGTTATGAAATTTGGATCTTTCTGGCCAGGGAGAGGATGAAAAAAAGGGAACTTTTAAAGATCAGGTGGTGTGTTGTGCCAAATGAAGTAGAGGGGCACGATAACTTGCATTTTTCCTTTTTTAAAACACGTTTTCTCCTTGTTTGGAGCAGTGATTCTGTAATTTCTTTTTGGTCAGCCAGCATTTTTCAAAGACTAGTAGCAGACAAACAAACTAGAGAGGGAGAGAATTAGGCAGTGGGGAGTAATCAAGCTGTTGATTTCCCATGCTTATAAAAAGCTTTTAGAATCAAACAAGGTGAAAAGAATTGTAATTAAGACTTGAGAATGGGGTTCCGACTTTGCCCTTAGATCAAGCAAACGGGTGTAGGATTTCCTTCTCCTTTAAGGAGATTGGGTCCCAATGTTCTCAGTGCATGGGGAAAAGCAAATAGGAAGGCAAGAGATGGACGAGGACTTTCTGTTTCTGTCTCTGTCCCAGTCTCGTGGCAATTCCCGTCTACGTGAAGCACAACATCAGTTTCCGGGACAGCAGCTCCCTGGGGCGCTTCGAGATCACCGTGGGGCCCAAGCAGACCATGGGCAAGACTGTGGAGGGAGTGATGGTCACCAGCCAGATGCCAAAAAGTGTGTTAAATATGACCCTGACACCCTCTCAGGGAACACATGTCTTTGATCCAGTTACAAAGGTGAGAGCAAAGGTAGAAATTAGATACTGGGGTTTTTTTTAATTTTTAAGAAAATGCAGTTGAGCTGTTCCTGCTTCCGTGGGCATTTCCAGGACCACTGCTTTGCTGAAGGCAGGATCTTTTTTTGGAATGGGGTGCTATCTTTTCTTTTTCTGAACAATTGCACACTAGAAGTTTCCTCAGTCCCCACAACAAACAGCTGGGTGTCTGAGTGGATTGTAGTTCTGGTTACCTGGTGTGTGATGGGTCTGGTGGATGCCTTACAAACTTCTGCATATCTGGTTGTCATGCCTGGTGCTGCATGTTGGACTTGGTCCTTGGCAAACACTGAGGGTTTTGGTGGGTTTTGATTTGGTTTGGGGTGTTCATTTGTTTTTGTTGCTCATTTGAGTTCATTTAAATTTAAATCTGATGAGCTTGTCCATGGGGCCTTTAGCACAAGTAGTGGAAATATCATTCATGGAAGGCTTTTGGGAGGTATCTGCTCCTTAAGCCTGTGTCTGTCCAATATGTGTCTGCCCAATATGAAAGGTGAGGTACTAAGAAGAAAACATTTTTCACAAAGAAACACTAAAAGTTGTCACTGGAAGGGGACTCTTCTTTAGAGGGTGTTACAGCATTTTTGTTTCACTGCTGAATTTTCTGTTCCTTTCAGTTACTGTCATGGGATGTGGGGAAAATAAACCCCCAGAAGCTGCCAAGCCTGAAGGGCAGTGTGAGCCTGCAGGCTGGGACATCGAAACCAGATGAAAACCCCACCATTAACCTGCAGTTTAAAATTCAGCAGCTGGCCATATCTGGTAAGTGACTGTCAGGTAAAGGAGGGGAATGTTCTCTGCTGTGCCAGTGCCCATTCTGCAGGTAGCTGAAGTAGCTTTGCAGGCCTTCTACAGCACATTCTACCTGAAACAAGCAAAAAATTGTCTGCTTTGGCTACAGATACATGGATTTGTTCTCTCTGGTGCTCTGTGAAGCAATTCACCTACATTTCCTTGCATTTGGTGCTTACAGAGCTATAAAGAATTTTAGGCTATGGATGTGTTTGTAAAGAATGATTCTGACATTAGGCAGCTGTCAGCTTTTCTCTGTTCTGTTTACTGCTTGCTAAAGCTTCCCCTGTGCTTTCTGTCCCTCTCTCTTGGAGGCCTGTCTGCTTTGTTTGTGGCAGCACCAGTCTCATGCTGTGTTTGTTTGCCCTTAGGACTGAAGGTGAATCGCTTGGACATGTATGGGGAGAAGTACAAGCCATTCAAGGGGATCAAATACATGACTAAGGCTGGCAAGTTCCAAGTCCGAACCTAGAGGATCCTGGCAGTGAGGAAGAGCACTTCTCCTTTTCCCCTGTCCCTGGCTGTTGGATGCAGCCTCTTTCCCCATCCATCTGTTTTGGGTAGCTCCCTTGCCTGTAGTAGCATGAGCAGGAAAGCAAGTGCTCAGACTGCTGGAAAGCAGGGGAAAGTAAGGCTGACCTGAAACCACCTCATCTCTTGGAAGTCTTTGGAATAACAGCGGATGGGAGAAGTGTTCAGGTCCCTTGGGATTAGTGAGTCAGCTGTGTAAGCTTGTATCACCCTCATTTTGCTGTCTTAGAGGAAATTCCAGGTATTTATTGCCTTTTGTATCTCCTCTTCCTTGTATTTTGGTTGGCTTTTATCCCTTCGTAGATGATCCAAAGTTGAATTTCCACAAACTTCAACTCCAGTGTGAGGATCAGCACCTGCCCTTCTCCATCACTGTGTGTCAGGATGCAGAGCTGTACAGTTCTTGGCAGCAGGGAAATCATCTTGCCTCTCTGCCTCAGAGGGGCTGGAGAAAGTGGAAGGGTGGATTGTTCCACCCAGGATTGCTGATTGAGAAGCCTGAGATTGGGGATGGTGCCACAGAGGGAGGAAGGGAAGAAGTGGATGCTTCTTCTAGGTACTTCACAAGCCATCTTGGTTGTTAAGTATCTTAAATCTCTGAACACAGACTTGAAATGCATTCAAATCTTGTAACTGGGGTGTGGTGGCATCTCAGTGTCATTCTGCTTCTCTGGTTATTTTATCAGTATTTGAAGGTAAGAATTCTCCCACCTGCCTTGGGGAATCAGACAAGACAGGGAGGGGAATTTTTGTGAGGACACAGCACTGATGGAAATTGCAGCTGTGAGTAAATGAAGATAATCACTGTCCTATAACTTGTTGGAACCTCTCTCTGCCTCTGCTTGCCAATTGCAAATGAAGGCTGTTCTCCTGCTCACTGATGTCCTTCTTTGACATAACTGTGACCTGGTACCTTCGTAGTGTTCCTGCCTGTCCTACCTCATTCCAGTTCTGTCCCAGTCAGGTGCTGTGGATTCAAGGGTTGCCCACTGGGACCATCTCCTGTGCAGGAGCTGTTGCTCCATGTGCCCACCCCAGCCTGTGGTACCTCCCTGTGTCCAGCAGAACCAGGAGATGAGAGGCACCTGTGCTGGTGGTGGTGTCTGGAACAGGCTCTTTGGCCACCACATGCCAGGGTGTTTTCCCTGTGGGAGCAGAGCCTGTCCCTGAGCTGCTGTGCTGTGACCACACAGGTGTGGCTGTGCAGTCCAGCATGGACAGCCTCTAAAGGAAGGGTGGCATCCATGGGGTGGCATCTTGCTTGTGGAGCTGCAGGTTCCAGGGCTCCAGAGGAATGCCAGAGCAGGTGGCATCTGCTGAGGTGACATTACTGCTGAGCATGTTCAGTGCAAATAAAACCTTCAACGAGGGCATCAATAAAATTAATTTTTACATGTCATCTGTGTCATTTCAGTGTGGTTTGTGCAGGCTTTACAAGAAATATGGTTGGTATTTGAGGAGGAAGGTAAACTATGCCAATTGGACTGTGAATAGTGGGTGCCTTAGGGAGATAAATGTCTTTATGCAGTTGGGATTGTAAGCCAGGGACTAAGTCACTGTCTGACAAGCTAAAATTCATTACTTCCCTGGTAATTTTTCTTAGTGTTTCCCAAAAGGAGCGCTGAGCATTTCCTGGAACCTCAGTGAAAATGTCTTTAGGCTGCAGCTGAACCATTTTTGTTTGCTGGGTAGGGTAGCAGGCTCAGGGTAGTGCTTTGATTATGAAGACAATGAAATACCTCATCACCTCCTGCTCCTCAAGTACTGATCCTGTCCTCTGGCTTTGTAGCTTTGTTTTTTAAAGGATCTTTTCTGCCCTGCTGAAGTGATTCATGTTACTCAAGGTTTGTTATGTACATAAGGGCCCTTGAGCCAGGATTTCTGTATCAGTCTGAGATGGCTGCAGGGTCCTGTGGGATGAAAGATGAAACGGGGCAGAAGGGGGAACAGGGGAACAACATTAAGGACATGAGCTGGTTGATAGAAGGACTTTTGGGGAGGGAACATGAGGTGTAGCTGTGTACCTCAGTCACCATAAATGCTGATGCTGACCTGGGTTCTGAAAGACCTTGAATATGACAATAGCAACTGCAAAGGCAGAGGAAAGCAAGCAAGCAGATGGCAGTGGCTATTCTTAGACCTTGTCTAAAGATGGTGCTGCTGTGTCCTGGAAGAGGACAAGCAGGGATAAAAGCAGGATAAGAAGTGGAAAAGTTGATGTTGTAAAGATGGAAACATTTTATTGGTGGCTGTTAGATCACACTGAGTTCAAATATTGTATTTAATAGACTGTTTGAATGGCAAAACAAGTGTTCCTGAGGACACTTACTTGTGTGACTCAGTGGAATGGTTTTGGCTGTTTTACAGGCTGCAGGTATTTGGCAGGGAATGCCAGGATAGTGAGGCACAAGAGCACTTGGAAATGGTGTAGGGGAGATGAATGGAAATTAATTTGTATTTTTCTCAACATTAATATTTAATAAAATGAAAATATCAACAATAAAAAAAATTTACACCAAAACCCTGAACTGTGACTCTTCATTAAAAAACATCTTGGGGTTTTTTTAACTCATCCACTGTTGTTGAACTGACTGGACTTACACCACCATTGCCTCATCTCTCTGAGGCATTTTCTAAGCTGGTGGCTGGAAGATCACAGACCATTTGTAAAGTTGCCATTTACAACCTCCCTTTTCCCATCCTCACCACATCTCTCCTCTGTACTTACATAGCAGGGTTCTGTGTTTGACTGGATGCTGTGCTAGTCTGTTCTCAGAGAGCTCCTTAAAGCTGAGAGAGTAAACATTTGGAGTTAGTGTTTTGAGTTTCCCAAGTACAACAGGCTGGTGTTCTGGCTACAACTGGTAGTAAGGCTAAACTCCTTTTGTTCCCTCAGGATAACGTTTTCCTTTTGTAAAACAGCAGTTACACCTGCTTTCTCTTTATAAAGCAACTGGACAAAGGAGAAGCTTTCAAAGGCTTCACTCCTCGGGTGTGCACAGATGCCTCTCAGTGTCACATGGCAGCTGCAGTGCAGGGCAGCAAAGCTGATTACTGAGGGTCTGGTTCAAGGGGATTGGTTGTACCTGCCCTGGCTGCTCTCAAAGGACAAAGGCAGCCTTGTGACATGTGATTTGGCCTTTTACTTGTGGATATAAATCTAGCAGGCACTTTAAACTGCTGCCACTACACTTGTCCTTTGTTCTGCCCCACTGCACTGAAAAGAGAGCTTTTGCTTTCATATCAGATGATAATGCACAGAAATTTAATAGTCAAAAAGCATGCACTGATTCTGTGGCAGATCAGGCTGATGTTAATATTTTTACCTATTCCTTTACCAGGAGGAAAAGCAACTGGGAGAACAGAATGTCCTAACAAGCATGCCACCCTGGATTTGCTCAGAGAGTTTAAGCTCAGACTTGGTTAATTAATCAGTTCCAAACTGAAAAAGCAAGTAGTATATTGATCTGGAAATAAGCAGCTCATGCCTACAGCTTTGTTCTTTCTATTGGAGTCAAGCTGAAACCAGCTTAAATTACCCAAGTCAAATGTCATAAGGACAGAGCTTAAGTCTGACTGGAATGTCTTCCAATTTTACAGCCAAGTAAGGAGGGAAATGAAGTTTTCAGGAAATTAGATCTGTCCTCTTTGCCTTCAGTTTACACCCATTTCCAAAACAACATATCTGCTTCAGGGATGCATGATGTTCTCTCTTGGCTTATTCTTTTGGCCCAAAACTAATTTTAAATTGTACTCATGTGATTTGATGCGAGTTGAAAGCTTGGGGATGTTGTGGGGAAAGGAGGATGAGTTTCTGATAACCTGTAATAAGGACAGGAGGGTAATTTGGGAACGTGCCCTTCTCACACACTGCAGTTTGTCTTCCCTTGTACTGAAAGTCACGAGCCTGTGGACAAACAGGAAGCCCTTGAAGTCCTTAAGGCACCAGAAGGAGGTTGTGAGGGCACGGCCACGAGACTGCAAAGAGTTCATGTTTCTTTCTCAGGGGTTTGTGGTGTCCTCAATCCAGCCCAGGTACCGATTCACCTTTGTGTAAACCCCAGGCACGTCCTTGCGGCCACAGCCAATCCCCCAGCTGATGATCCCAACCACAACCATCCGCTCGTCCTTCGGGCACACCAGGGGCCCTCCAGAGTCGCCCTGCAGAGAAGCAGCACGTTAGTAACAATTTCCTTTTCTGTTTGTTTGGGTTTGTGTTGATTTATCACTCCCACTGTCTTTAGAGGTGCACCAGTGTTTGCAGAAAGGCCCCGTGCAGTGTGCTCACAAATCAAGAGCTCTCAGGAACAGCACTTTTACAGAAATCACGCTCGTGTTCCAGACTCCCTCAATGCTCCTCATGGGGAGAGACCCAAAAGAGATGTAACAGTGAAGTGTCTAACTTTGTATAGCGCTCATTTATGAAATGTAGGTGAGATGCTGATAAGAAAAAGAGGAAGGCTGTGTGTAACAGTAAAGCAAAATTATTCAAGAGCTGTTCAAGCAGAAAGGATGTGGAGTGAATGCATCCCCTCCTTTTTCCTCATGTCATAGCTGCTCCTTCTCCACCATCTTTCAGCCTTTATTTTAATTTTCTCTACTTTTAAGTAGAGAGGCACCCCCTTCCTCCTCCAGAACCTCCTGCTGAGTGTTTTGCATGTTCACATAACAGAAAATATTAGGAAATGCTGGGGTGGATTTTCCTGTTCAGTTTTGTGGAATTTCCTGTATTTGGGATTTTCAGCCTGTGTTGCTCTGGTTTGATTGGCTAAGTGTGCCCTGCCTTCCCATCTACAAGGGGCAAGGGAAGGAAAAGGGAAGACGAGCCAGCAGTTCTGTTCTGTTCAACAAAAGTCTACTGGAACTGCCACGCAGGCAGATGCACAACTCCTTTGAACTATTTTCTGAAGCTTTTTGTTTGCTTGGCTCAGACCACCAGGGGCAGAGAAAAGAAAGGGGCGAGGGAAGGAGAGGAGGAGCAGAAGCAGGGTTACCTTGCAGGCATCATCAAGGTTCCTGGTGTCCCCTGCACACAGCATGTTGTCGGTGACCGTGCGGTTGTCCAGGTGCTGTGCCGTGCACTGGCTGGCCGGGAACAGCCGGACACGGCCCTCCTTGAGCTGCTCCGAGTAGAATGGAGAGACTGCAGGGAAACCACAGCATACTCACATAGGGCTGTGTATGCACACACAGCTTTTAGAAACACTGCAGTTCAGTTTCTGCAGCTCAGAGGAGCGTAAACAGGAGTAGCTCAGTGGCTAAATGAATATTTCCTTGCCAAAGGGTCTTTTTTACATCTTGGGTGTTCCACTTCGCCAGTGAGAACAGCTTAAATCTGACTGAGGGAGAATATTGTTTCTTCAGCAAGCTTTAGCAAGTTAAAGAGGTTTTTCTAGGCTCCAAATTAAAGGCTGCTGGGTGGGTAAGTCATCTTTGCACAGTTACATCAATTGAAATGAAGTCACAGGAAGTGCCTATGAAAATGCCTTAACTGTATGAAACAGGGTCCTAACTTTTTAATATTAGACTTGCACTAACAAAAACCTGATGCCTTGTCATACACAATACTGAGTAACTGAATGGGAATTTACACTTATGTTGGAATGGAAGAGATTTGGTTGGTTGGTTTGGATATTGGGTTCATGTGCAGCTGCAATTGCACAAAATTGAAAGTTGGCAAGATTGTTGTTATTCAGTCTAGTTTTGAGTTACAGTTGCAGCATCCTGCCCTCTCAAAGAGTTTATCCTGTACTCCCTGTAAACAATGCTGAGGACAAGCTTTAAAAGCACTTTAAAAATCTGCAACTGTATGGTACACCAAATCTTGACAGGAAGGGATTTCTGTCCAAACTACAATATCTAAATGTACTGAGTACAGCAGAAATGTGGCAGCTGTGACTGCAAACTTGCTGTCTTTCCTACCCTATCCATTGGGCCAGGGTTTTGGTTTTGTACTGTGGAGAGTATCAAGGAAGACCCTACTGGCCCATTCAGCTGACAGAACTCAGATGAATGAAATAACTGACAGCAAAACTTCCTTTTGAGTGACTCCTACTTATACATACATTTTGTGGTGTTCAGATAAGCCAGTATAATACATCAGACATTCAGTAAGGCTAAAGGCTTGAATTCTTTGATGGCAGGGGACTCAAGCTTTGGACAGACTATTTTCTACTTGCCTGTAGACATTATCTTCTACTTACATTCGTCAACTTTGCCATAGCCAGAGATCTCACACTCTGTCCAGTCAGGCAGCTGCAACCCTGGTGTGGGGAGGCAGGCAGCTCTCACAGTGTCTGTCTCAACAGCACAGGTTCCTGCATCTGAGCTCAGCTGCAGCAGAGCTGAGGAGGGAGAAAACAATCCCCACTTCATTAACCACTATTAAACTCGAGCCAACCGTGAGCTCTCCGGCCACAAGGTCAGAAAAGCTCTTACCAATGTCATTGTTGAAATTTTCTGAGTCAAATCTCGGATGGACAATGTAGTTCTTCACTCCAAACTTTTGTTCATTTTCCTCGGGAGTGGCTCGGGAAGTCCTGCCCAGCACAATCTTCAGCTGATTTGTACTAAAGCTGGAGAACAAGAGAGTCTCTGTTCTCGTGTTAACTAGAGGGGACCCTTCCCTTCAAGATGTGTTGTTGGAACTTCTGCTTTTCTCATTTTAGCACTATTACTACTCTGTTACCCAGGCAGCTTGACCTCGAGTGACCTATTTGGCTTCATTTTTGTGCTATTTGCTTACAGCCATCATGGCAAAGCTCCTCTGCCAGCCCCTTGCTGTTCTCAAGTTTCAGATGGCTCTGCATGCGTATTGACAACTTTGTTCTTCTGCTATTTGACATTCTGCTGTGGTACCTTAGTGCCATGCTGCTAGTTTGCACAATCAATGCCTGTCTGTAATGCTCAGCACGATTAACTGTAATCTTTAGTGCAGACTGGCTTACTGGGATAAAGAGGAGTTTTTCCAAGGCCGCGCTGGACGCTTCCATTTTCCAGATTTTATCTTTTTCCCCCAGACAGTGCTGAACCCTCATCTTACCGTTCCTCAAAGCAGTGAGCAGCTGACAGCACCCAGCAGGAGCTGATGAGGGTGCCCCCGCAGAGGAAGTGCTCCCCGGGCAGCCGGCGGTAGGTGGCGAGGATGGCAGCCTGCCAGGGGTGAGCGGCGATGTCGGCGGAGGAGCCCCCGCGGACGCGGAACTGCCGGCGCTGCCGCACGCCACAGCTGGCTGGGGACGAGACCCGAAACAGGCTCTGGGTGCCAAACTCGGGCTCTGAGTTTGGGGTAAGAGCCTGTTAGTCACCGGTGCGTGTTGAGGCAGCCTGCTGTGAGCTGGTTAGTATCTGACTCACTCCTGTTTCCTAGGAAACTTGTATTCGGATTTGAAAAATACAGTAAGGAAACCCTGCCTTTCCTGTCCTCCATTTCTGCAGTCTTCCCTCCTGGCAGAGAGAAAGGCACTGCTGTGAGAGTGGAGCTACAGAATCTCTTTCTACTCCAAAAAGCTTTTTTTTTTTTTCCCTCCAGCTCTTATTTTACTGTAAGAGGCTTGAGTTTAATACAGATGGCATGCAGGACTGTAGTGCCTCAAAGACAGAGAAGAATCAGCAGTGCTTGTATCCTTACAGCAAGTAGGCACATTGCAGTACTCCCATGTGAGCTGACTTCCTTTCAGGACATGGCACCAGGGCTTGCTGTCATTGTCAGGATTCCTGCAGCACAGGAAAGAGAAGAGCTCTTTGTATTATCAGATCTGCAGGGGGTTTGTGGAGACCTAAAGGTGGCAGACTGCAACCTCAGTGTATTCTTTTTGATCTTTCTAGAGAGCCCTGAGGGCACATGGAATTTGCATTTATGGGGTCTGATGTCAGAGAAGCAGAGATAGGTCAAGCAGAACAAAATTAGTATTGCAAGTGAGCTTCATTCCCAGCAGGAATGTACTTCCTGTGCTTTCTACACCCCAGACATACCTGCAGAAATTGTGACTCCCAAGGCCCAGCTGGGAAGCGTCTCTTCTCCAAGCAGTAAATCGCTTGTTGAAAAGGATCCCAGAATTCCACTTCAGACAGGTAGCTCCAGAACTGGTAACACTGTGGCTGCCTCGGTAATCTGTGCCTCTCCCAGATCTGCAGCTGGTGCTTGAAACTGCAACAAGAAAGCTGCACATTAACCCATGGATGGAACCCATCAGTTGCTCCTAAGTGTGATTTCTGTCAAGGCATCTCTCTATTAACCAGACACATCTCAGTCTCTTGGTGTCATACACACTAAAAGCTCACATATAATTTAACATGGGAGTCTCAACTTTTCAGGCTACAGAAACAGCATGAGTCTACAGTGAACCCTTACACACCCAGTGAATAACAGAAACTCCAAAGTCCCTCCCTGTCCCCCTGCCCGTACCTTTTGAACAGGAGGGCACACTGCAGTGTTCCCAGGTGAACCTTCCCCCTTTATAGATATAGCACCAAGGTCTGGAGTCCTCATCTGGGTTTCTGGAAGAGTTATGATATTGTGCATCGTTACAAAGCTGTTGTCAGCAGCCCCATGTCTGCCATCTCGTTTGGCAGCTTCATCCTGCTCTGCAGTGAAGACATGGACTGACCCACCAGAAGTGTCTGGATTCCTGTTTTAACTGTGGAGTACATGGAGGTGAAGATGAGATGGCCAGTGCAGGGGTGGACAGCACGTTTGTGCAGCTCAGTTCCACGTGCACAAAGCACAGTATTTTTAGTTTTGACTGGGATCTGGAACTGCGGGAAACTGAATTACAAATGGAGTTTTAGGCACTGAGAAGGGACAAGGGAAAGACTGTGGGATGAGAGATATCTGCATCTTTTAGTCTGTCATAAGCATCCAGTCCAGATAGATCTGAAGTTCAGATATGCCTCCAGAAGTTGCAACTGCTGCTCATGTGCTGGGCCATATCTGCACCTGCCTGGTGTCAGACTCCAGCAGACAGCTGTTCCTTTGCTCCAAGCTCTGATTCCTCTCACCTGTGTGCCATCAGCCCCTCACCTGCAGTAGTTGTGATTGCCTAATCCCAGCTCAGCTGCATCTGCTCTTTGGCCATGGTATGTCCAGTCCATCAAGTCTTTGCTATTCCAATTTAAACATTCAGTTCCACTGTCTGTCACACTCCATGTACCCCTGTATGTTACTCCAGCATCTCTGTAGCATTTAACTTCAGTATCTGAACAAAAGGGAACAAAATGTTACTGGAAGGACAACATCCCAACCCTGCTTCCCCAGTCTCTGTTCTGTTTAAACTTGGCTCTCAGATGTCCTGTCTAGTGAGTCAGTGAAAATGCCTTGTCAGGCAGACTGTAAGTGTAAACAAAGGTGTCTTCAGCTACAAAATTTAGAGTTTTATTAAGAGATGCTGAGAACAGCCCAGGTGTCCTTAAAAGTTCTTTGTAGTATTAGTTTTAGATTAAAAAGAGGCAACTTAATAGAGAGCCTAGAATACAGCAGGAGCTTCTGGGTACCTCATCCTTTTGTAGTGCACAGCTCAACCCAATCACTGTTGACAGGAACTGATGTGCTGTACTCACCTATTTCACACTGCTTCCCTGAGAAACCCTGGTGGCACTGGCAGATGAAGAGCTGTGGGGAATAATATGCCTGTGAACATTGGCCCCCATTGTAGCATTTATTTCTAGTGCAGGCTGTGGAATAAGCAAAAGCCAGGAAATACTGTTAGGTTTCACAGAAGCAAAAAGCTGGCAATGCATACACATCTTTCCTTTCCTGTCAGTCTCCTTTAGCCTGTTCTGTTTTTCCCTACCTACCTGGTATTGCCATGTGCTTACAGCCTTTCTGTGTAGTGCTGACATCCTTCCTTTGTTCCATTCTCTCCACATATGTGTCAGGAGACTTCCCCAGCCCCTGCCCACTCCCACTCAGTCCTGCCTGAGTCAGTGGATATTGGTATTTTCATTTCTATCCTATTTCAAGTCAAATTTCCTGTGCAATAACCCCGGCCCTGACTGTGGAGTTGTTCTTTCGGGTGGTTAGACAGACAGTCTCTCATCCCTCACCATTTCCCTCCTCTTTTCCTTTGTCACACTCACCTCTGACAGGCACTGTGTGGCAGCGCCTCTGCCCGCTGTCACACCTACAGTACTCTATCCTGCTCCCTGCCAGCCTCAGCCAGGTCCACCCGTGCTGGAACACTTCTCCAGAGGAACTGTCTTTGCAAACAGCTGCAATTGGAGAAAGGAAATCCTCTTTTAGAGATCTGGGGAAAAGACCTGGCTGAGCAAGAGGACTCCCTTCCACTTCCAGGAGAAAAGTATCTGTGAAGGGAGCACCTGTCTAACAGGCTGCCCTTCCCCTTCTCAGACCACCCTGTCCCATCCCTCTCACTGCTGTGTGGCTGGAGTTACTATTCCACTACTGACCAGCCTTGTTTTCTTTGAAGAGGAGCAGTGGGAGGGGAAAACTTCCCTGAGTTGTGGATGGTACTAATGGTCTGGTATTTTGCCTTCTGAATCTCTCATTCAGATAACCACGACAAACAGCTTTCAGGCTCCACTCCTGCAGCATCATTTGCTTCCACCTCCCGTGTTCCTCACACTCCAGGTCACAGGGTTGTAGTTTCCTGGCTTACCTCTGGGTCTGGCTCCCCGTCTGAAACGTGTGAGTAAGCCCTGCCAGCAGAGAAGGTTAATTCTGTGAGTAACTGCTCTCTTAAAATAACTGAGAACAAGTGTCTACAGAGAGTCAGTCTTCTTGAGGTCATGTGAACCAGGGAGGTCATTCCAGAGGCACAAAAATCTCACCTGGCACTGGGTAGTCACGACTGCTCCCACCAGCAGGAGGAGACATGGGAGTTTGCCTTCCATTCTGTTTTCTACATCAGCTCCAAATCTCAAGTTATCTACAGAGACAAAAAATAAGATGTTGAACAAAGGGGTTTTACAGAGTGAATGGAGTTCAAGGTCATAACCTTAAATAAAGGTTTTCAATTATGAAAATTCTTTGTACACACTTTCAACCCTTCGCTTCTCAGCTGTCTGGTCTAGCTGTCCTGGTCTTCCAGGGGCACAAAAATCCCATACAAACCAAGAGGTGGGAGTGAGGTAGAGTAGCAGGCAAGAAGGTACAATTTAATTCCCAGTCTCTAAGATTGCCCTGCAGTTCCAAATATTTGAAACAGTATTCAGGCACTGTCTCCCACACTGTCACCTACATTACATGCAGAAAGCTGACCCAATTATTTGAGAAAACTACTTCCAGAAATTAGGAGCTCAGACTCTGTTTATGCAAAGCCAGAGAAGGCAGCTGGATAACAGCTGGTGAAATTGGAGTGTGACAGATGAGTCAGAAATTGTGATTCATGGCTAATAAAGTGTGTTTGTGGGTTTTTGGTGGTTTTGTCATTGTGTTTGTTTGTTTGTTTAAGATTTGTTCAAAGAAAAAGCAAAAGGAACAAACAGTGCAGTTTCTGAAGCAGATCAGGAGTACAGCAGGACAGTTTAGGCTGTGATTTCTCATCATTAGGCAGTAAAAACAGGAGATTTAAGTTGCAAGTCACTCTGAACAAAGGAAAAGATTCACAAGAACATCTTCCGAGAACCTTAATTACTCCATGACTTGCCTTTAGGTCACATCTTGGTGATGAAATTCCTGTAATTCAGAGCATCTCTCAGGGATTTTTCTTAGCCCCCAAAACAAGGCAACACCAGTGAAATTATACTGCAGTACAACACAGTTCAGAGTGTGTCCAAAGTTAGTTTGCATCAGATGCCACATCCTTTCTTCCCCTTATTTCTGCTGTCCCTGTCCAGGCTGTCCCAGCTTACAGAGCTGCCACGTTTCCTGCTCCTTCCCCTCTCCATGTGGGATGCCTGTCCATCCACTGATGGCTGCTGTCCCACTGTGCTTGGAAAACTGATAGCAGATGTTGCCAGATGTTTATTTTTAGTTTTGGGAAAGGTACAGCTTAGACCAGTCCCTTGGAATGTTCTGGATGATAAGCCCCATCAAACTGAAACCATATGGCTGTTTGAAAAACACCACTTTGCCAAGAGTCCAGGCAGAAACCTGCAGTGTGCTTTCTGGCAGGACTCCCCTAACCAGTGTGTGCCTTCTGATCTCAGCCTCTGCTTCCTCTCTGGTTGAAAACACTACAGCAATAAGTCAAAGACTGAGAGGTGCTGTTCCAACATTTTGATTTGATTTGACACTTTCGAGTACATTGGGACACAAAAGATATACAATACTCTAAATTTGTCTCTCTTTGCTGAAGAATCAGCAGCAGAAATACTTACAATCCTACCTATTAATTTATTATTAATAACAGCCCTTCTAAGCAGCAAGAGTGTGAGCATTATCTTACCAATGTGGAATAATACCTAAAAAAGAGATGTAACTTATCAAGGTCAAACAAAAAGTCACTAACCACAGAATCACTTAGGCTGGAAAAGACCTTAAAGATCATTGAGTCCAACCATAAAACCAACACTGCCAAATCCACCATTAAACCATGTCCCTAACTGCCACATCTACAGGTACAGAAATCAAAAGTGGCTCTCCTCCCTCCCAATAACACAGCATGTCCTTTCCAAAATACCTTGATTCTGCATCTATAAGGCTAACAGCTTTCTTGCTGATCAACAGCTATCTTGATTTAGTTCAGGCAACAGACTGCAGCTCCTTGCTGCCTTTTCCTGCCTTCTGGAGAAAGTGCTTTTGTATCCCTTTTGAGGTGAGCAGATGCACAGCAGACTCGTACTATTTCTCCTTAAAAATATAACAGATAGACCTCTGGTCTGGGGGGAAAGAGTTAAAAAAAAAAAGAAAAAAAAGTAAGATGCTGCAGTCTTTGAAAGCATTGGAGGAAATGGATATTTCAAAATCAGGCTTTGTTTTGGGAATCATTCTCAGTATTCCTGTGGTTTTGGCCACATTTAAAGAGAAGCATGATTAGGGTGAACTGAAGATGACCCACCCTCCTCCTCCTCTTTGTCCCTCCATTATCCTGGTTTGGAACCTGGGGTGAGAGGAACAGTCTGATCTCCTCCCAGGGAGATTAGATAAATTCTTCTTTTTCAGCTAGTTCTCTGGGTCCCTGTACCATCAAGATATTTGTCCATAACTCTTCCTTTGGTTTAAATTGTTTTCTAATGTTCTTTGTGCAGGACACTCCTCCTTGCTTAATGGGTCAGAGCCTGAGGCTGTTGGTTCTTTCAAGAAAGCTTCAGCATTCTTGAAACAACTGAAAGTTAGCAGCTTTACCCACACTATGAATCCCTTCAAAAGCTGAAAACCAATAGCTCAGTTAGGTAACTATCACGGTGATTCAGTGGGATTTATTAAATAATAATATTTAATAGTAGTTAATGACTTTCCCACCGATGTTGAAAACAGGAAATGCACTTTTTGAAACAGGTACAAAGTAGTACCTACCTTTTTGCTTTTTCTCTTCTGTATCCTGATTATTTCCTTTCCAGACCAGTCTGGTTTTGTGTTTTCTGTGTCTCTGCTCTGATTTCTCTGAACAGCTCCTGTCCTACTTACAGCTCCACTCGAGGGGGTGGAGACTCCCCGTGCTGTGCACATCCCACCCCTTCCCGAGCATCTGGGGATGGTCCGGGCTGGTGGCCCGAGTGCTGGGAGGGAGCCTGTGCAGGACACGAGGGAAGCTGCTGTACTCCCAGTAGAGATGTCTAGCAGAGAGATCCTGACCTGCATGTGGAGCAAAGAATGCCCTGAACAGTGCCATGGGAGAAGAAACAGTCAGGGGAGCTCGTGAGTTAAATGAACAGAACGTCTAAGGAACTTTAGACAGAAACAAAGAACAGCATGTTGGGGACCAGAGGGTTAAATGTTCACTGCTACTGCCCATCCTAGAAAATGAAGATCTACTCAGCAGGGTGTGGCCATGAGGTATTCAGTTATCAAAGTGTGGCAGACAAATCTGAGTTATCGGTTTAAGAGCTGATCTTAGGGCTGGGTTATGAAAACAGTCAGTGATGCTGTTTACTCTGTCAGAGTAATGGATGTGTCCTAACTATCCATAACTGATTCACTAGCAATCGGGTTCCTATAGAATTTGGTGTGAGCACAGACATAAGAACTGGTGCTCTTATGAGGGACCTCTGTCTTCAGGAAGTAGCTTGCGTGGAGTCCTTATTTGGGAAGCATGGCAATGGTTATTTTGCATAATGGTAAAGATGGAACACTACCTACTCTGTAGGTTTACATTTTCTCTGTACAGAAATCTATGCCAAGATTACCACATGTATTTCTCCAAGAGTCACAGTGCTGGTGGTAACATTACTACCACAAATCTGAGTCAAGGGGAGCTGCATTTGACTGTTTCCAGAAGGGACTCCCAGCTGCTGAGAAAAAGATGATTGAACACTGCTGAGTGAGCAGGGCTAATTTACTTCCTTTCTAAAAACAGCACCCATTTGCTACTGGACTTCTAGATTAAAGATGCTAACAAACTAATGGCCGTGGGGGGAACAGCTCAGAAATTATCTCCTGACTTTTCACAGCTTAAGGACAACTGTAACCTGCCTCCAGAGCGCTGTGCCATTTGTACTGCTTAACCCACTTTGGGAAAGGCAGCGATAGCAGCGTCTGCTCTCTGAAGCACCATCTGCCGGCTTTCCTCTAATGTGCCCGTGTCTGGGGGTGGTTCCGGCAATGACACTGATGTTCAGTGTCGGTGACCAAGTGTGACACCGCGACACCCCCCGCAGGCCGCCTCGCCCCGACGGGCCCCGCTGTGCCCGGCAGGTCTCGGAGCGCACCTTCCCTCGCTCAGGGCCTGAGGGAGCGGCACCGACCCCGGGGAACGCCCGGGGCGGCTCGGGGGGCGGGCGGGGAGCGCGGGCACACGGTGCGCCCCAGAGCGGCGGGTTCTGGGGATGTTTTCCCCTCACGATTCCCGCTCCCCTCAGCCCCGCTCCCCTCACGATTCCCGCTCCCCTCAGTCCCGCTCCCCTCAGTCCCGTTCCCCTCACGATTCCCGCTCCCCTCAGTCCCGTTCCCCTCACGATTCCCGCTCCCCTCAGTCCCGTTCCCCTCACGATTCCCGTTCCCCTCTCGATTCCCGCTCCCCTCAGCCCCGCTCCCCTCCCGATGCCCGGCCCCGCGCGGGCGGGCGGGCGCTGGGCCGGAGCCGGAAGCGCGGCGCGCGCAGGAGCCGGGCCCGCCATGAGCCGCCCGCCCGCGCTGCAGGCTCCGACCTGCGGGCCCTGGGAGATGCGGGAGCGCCTCGGCACCGGCGGCTTCGGCAACGTCGTCCGCTGGCACAACAAGGTAGGCGGCGGGTCGGGCCCGCGGGGCGCGCCCCGGCGCGGGGCCCCCCGCGCTCAGCCGGCCCGCGCTGTGTCCCGCAGGAGACCGGCGAGCAGGTGGCCATCAAGCAGTGCCGGCAGGAGCTGAGCCCGCGCAACCGCGACCGCTGGGCGCTGGAGATACAGATCATGAAGAGGTGAGGGGGCCCGGGGCTGCCCGCGGCCGGGCCCGGGTCCCGCCGTGCCCCGGGGGGCGGATCCGCCGAGGGAGGTGCCGGGAGGGGCCGCTGGGATCCCTTCCGGGCGGTGCCCGTCACGGACCCGGCGCCTCCCGCACCCCGGGGTCGCGGTGCCGTCCTTGCGAGGCTCGTTGCGGTACCTCCCGGCAGATCTGCCGTGCGTGTGCGCGAAGGAACGCGCTGTCTGCGCGTGAAATGCAGTGAGTTAGGATGAGTCTAGGACCGTGAAGGACTGGACTGGCAGACCTTTAGAATCCACTAGTTCAGTTTCTAAAAGGGTTGGTGACCATGAGCATGTGAAAGTGTGTAGGAGTTGCAGCACATCACGTGTGCTTGCCTTATTTTCATTCCTCAGGCTCAACCATCCCAACGTGGTGGCTGCCCGTGATGTCCCTGAAGGGATGCAGAAGCTTGCACCAAATGACTTGCCCTTGCTGGCCATGGAGTACTGCCAGGGCGGAGACCTCCGCAAGGTGAGGGCCCTGGGAAGGTGACCGAGGGCTGGATCAGCTTCTCATCTCATCCCAGGTGTTCTATTCAAGTTTTCCTGTAAAATCTTTGTTTTCACATCCTGATGCTTCGTAATCGTGGCATCAACAGATTCCTCAAAGTGATTAACTCCTGTCTGTCGGAGGGAAAAATAACACAGGATAATTCTGATCCTAAGGTTTTTCTAACCTTTGCTGTAATCTCCCTGTCGATAACAGCCAGAGCTTAGACCTGAGATTTGAGCTGATAGTGCCACACGCAGGGGAAATGGCTGAGAAAGGTGGAGCAGGTAGAAGGATGAGAATGGGATGACCCTGACTTCTCTCACTCACTCTGTTATCCTCCCATGCCATTAGGCCAAGGCCTGAAGCTGTAATTGCTGCTACCAGAGGTCACAGACCATAGAACTTTGTGCTTCTAGAGAATTTGATTGCTGTTACTTAGACTTCTTGCATCCCTGAGAATCTGTGGGACTGTGAGCCTCGCTCAGGGTAGAGGAGGGAAAGCCTACATTTTCTGTTGTTTACCTGCAGTACCTGAATCAGCTGGAGAATTGCTGTGGCTTGCAGGAGGAAGCCATTCTCATCTTGCTGTCTGATATTGGTAAGTGGCTGCAGTACCTCCACTGTCTGAACCAGTGCTGTGACCTTAAAAACTACAGCAGTGACCTTAATAACTACATCTTAGTCTGACCTTTTATGATCATCTGCCAAAGGTTTTGGGAGTCTGTGGAAGTCCCTGCTGACTTGAAACTAGCCAGCATTATTACAGATTACAAGAAGGGTGGGAGGGAACACCCAGGGAGAAAACTCTGCTTGTGTCCAGAGGTGTTTGATGCTGACTTTCCTCTTGCACTTATGTGTTTCACTGTACAAGATTTGACCCAAAAGCCATGCTTAAAGTAGGTAGAACTGAATCCTTACTGAGCTCCTGCTAGGTACTGTTAATTTATGCTCTTAGAAGTGGCTTTTTCTGTGTCTCAGCTTCTGCTCTCAGGTACCTTCATGAGAACAGGATCATCCACAGAGACTTGAAACCAGAGAACATTGTGCTGCAGCAAGGAGAGCAGAGGGTAAGCAGAAACCAGGTGTCTCTACCTGCACACACAAGTAAGTGTAAGAGGAGGTGCATGTGGTCCCTCTGCAGAGCACTGCACCCAGGGTGACAGCTGTGTCAGATGAACAGTGTTCTGTGTGCAGCTGAGAGATTGTATTAGGCACCTGTTAACACCTGACATTTTGACTTTCAACTATTTAAGGAGAGAATCAGGCTGTACTGATGGACCAAAGATCAGAAGGAGCTGGAGACAAAACTGCTACGTGTGTGCCAAGCCCCTGACAACTTTACATATGTTGCAGTTTTAGGAATCTCCCATTTCTGCTTCCCTCTCTTCCTTGGTACCTTTCCTGCATACCTTTGAAGAGCTGAACCTTTTCTTTCTGCTGTATGATGTGCTTTTAACAGGACTTCAGTCTAGTGTTCTTGTTCTCTGTTGTGTGTTTCAGTTAATACACAAAATCATTGACCTGGGTTATGCTAAGGAACTGGATCAGGGTAGCCTGTGCACATCCTTTGTTGGGACTCTGCAGTACTTGGTAAGGAAGGAATTCAGCTAGAAGAGCAGCTCCTGCTTTTCAGTGGGGTAGAATTAACTGTTATCAAGCTTTGGGCTGGGATGAGGTACTTGTGCTGGCATGGGGTGCTTTTGGGGTGCTGCAGCGAGCAGAGGTGACCCTTTTTTTGCTGACACTGTGTTTTCAGTGTCTGCCAGCTCTGTCTGTTACAAACAAGGAGCAGGAGGGCCAGTGACCTGTGCGGGTCACTCTGGGAGGGTCTCAAAGCTCGTGTTCCATAACATCTTTAATCTTGTGCAGGAACATTAGTGAGCTGTTAAGGGGCAGAGAGAGCCAAGAGATGGGAGGCTTTGTCTGATGTGTGTAACTGTCTCAGGCTCCAGAGCTGCTGGAACAGCAGAAGTACACGGTGACAGTGGATTACTGGAGCTTTGGCACACTGGCCTTTGAGTGCATTACAGGCTTCCGACCGTTCCTGCCCAACTGGCAGCCAGTGCAGTGGTGAGTGAGCTGGGGACCCCACCTGTCTGTCCTGTTTACAGTCCCTTGATTCTTAGGACAATATCCCTGTGTTCCTTGCTCTTATGGAGACTGACTCCCTTCACAGGAGTTTGACCTACCTGAGCAAGTTCAGCATTCCTGATACTTGCCCTCTGGGATAAGGTCTGACTCCTGCAGGGCAGGTAACAGAAAGCAAAGTGGCATCTGTATTCTATCTGTCAAGAGTAGCTTTAAGAGCCTACTGTCATGCAGGCTGGGAGAGGCAGGTGATTGTTTCACCATTGTACTTGCTTGAATTCCTCAGGCACACAAAAGTGCGTCAGAAGAGCGAGCTGGATATTGTGGTTTCAGAAGACTTATCTGGAGAAGTCAAGTTTTCCAGCAGCTTACCCTGCCCAAACAATCTAAACAGGTGGGCACTGGAAATTGCCCTGCTGGGATAAACTGATTCTTCTGCATAAGGACCAGGTTTATATGATACACTGTGCTAATCTGTGGATAAACTGAGTGCATGACACAGACAGTACTTGTGTCACTTGTCAGACTCGTGTAGTTGTGAGTCTCTAAACACTGCACTTGTGATGGGGAGTGTTGGGGGGATCAGGGTGGGGGCAGTTGTTTGTCAGTCCTCCTGCAGAGTCCAAGCCATGTGGTGACTGCAAATGCACTTTTACTTCTTGTGATCCCCTTCTGTTCTTGGTTGTTCAGTGTTTTGTCTGCGAGGTTGGAGAAATGGCTGCAACTCATGTTAATGTGGCACCCACGCCAGAGAGGGACAGATCCTACATATGGACCCTATGGGTGTTTCAAAGCCCTGGATGACATTTTGAACTTGAAGGTGAGCAATGGGTCTGTATTATCCTGAAAAGTTTTCCAGAGAGCAGTTGCCTGTAGCCCGTGAGAGAAGGTGCCAAGAGGCCTAGGAGGAGGAGTGGCACAGAAGCTCATGGAGCTGTCTCCTAACAGTCAGTGAAGGGGCTTTCCTCTTGCTTCTTTGAGGACAAATACTCCTGAGCTTGTTGGGAGTAGCAAATAGCTTCTGTGTGTGCTTAGTTCCATGTTCTGGTAGAGGATTCTGCAGCTGAAGCTGTTTAATTGCCACGTGGCCTCCCCTCCACTCGATGGAGGACTTTGGCATAATGTTATGAAGTAGCTGCAGAGTGACTTCCTGAGCCCACCAGGTGCTTTGAACAGTTTATTGGTGGCCAGTTTTTCAGTCCTGCCATCTCTGCTCCGACATGACCAGTGTTTCTTCAGCCTTTCTCATGTCATGCTGTTCTTGTAGTTGCTTCACGTTTTGAACATGGTCACGGGAACTGTGCACACCTACCCTGTGACAGAGGAGGAGACTCTGGAGAGTGTGAAGGCCAGGATCCAGGCAGACACAGGAATCCCAGAACAGGACCAGGAGCTACTGCAGGAAGCAGGACTTGAATTGTTTTCTCAGAAGTTGGTCACTAAACATATAGCTGATAGCAAGGTGAGTCTGGGTACTCCTTGTTGTTGAGTGAATCAGCAGGCACTGCTCTCCCTTTGGGATCACAGCACTCCCTGCTGTCGTGCAGGCTTTTGTCACAGTGACCCCACAGCCCTTGCCTCTGGTGTTCTCTGTGTGGCCGAGGAGGA